AGTTGGATGACTTGCTCCTTGTTTCGTTTTCTTTTCACGGTTCCCTACAGTTGCATTTCTTTAGAGCGGCAATTTTTATCGCAAAACTGGTTCACATAGCTAGGAGTCTTTCAGTAATCGCAAGGGTTCTGAATTATCGGCAGAAAAATTGGCAGTGATGAAGTCTAGAACCTGAACAACTCGCTTACTGTGCTGGTCTTTTGAGCATTACACCTTCCAGTCTCTTATATGGCATGAAAGCCGCCAACCAAAAAAGTGAATTGCGGCTCTCGTGATGTAATGATTAGCTCCTTAAAGACAGTCCCCTCATTCAAGGATTTCCTAGGCATCTTTTCTTGTTCAGTTAATACGGTCTGCAGTTTCTGAGACTGTCCCATTTCCGCGGCTTCCCTGTGAGTAGCAGAGGCGCTACCCTCACAGTTGGCGCTTCTCACATCTCTCCGCCTCTCCCCTCCCCTAGCTGTCCCGACCACCAAAACTTAGGCTATTTTCTGGTGTTAGATGGCATTAGCGTTGGATGACGCGAAGAAACGAATGAGCAAGAGGCTGTAGGACGTCGCTTTGAAACGAGCAGGTCTGGAGAACCTATACAGTGAGGTTCCCAGGGGTCTTGCTTGGAATTGGAGTGTTGTCCATGATTTTTTTATTTTTCCTTCCCTGAAGATCTTTTAAGTCATCATAGGTTTGTATTGAACACCACTATCCATAATATGCAATAGCGTGGGTTGTCTTTAACACAGAAGCCGAGTCCAAGTTTGGCTAAGGTCCAGTCTATTACCCATGACTTAGAATTGTTATGGTAAGTTTTGTATCGTGAACTGTAGCGAAACTCCGTAGATATAATAATGCAAGTCCAAATTTCTCTGTCTCTCAAAATTGTTCTGTTTCTCAAGAAGCTCACTTGCGCTTGGAAGCCATCTGTTGAGTTCATACTTCGCGGCTCAAGGTTAGGAGGCTTGTTGACTAAGAATGTTTTTCATGAGCGAGCATAGGGTATCGATCGAAGAGGAGAGTGTGGCAGTCGGTGAAACAACTCACGTTAGAATGAGTGTATAAATACCTGTCTGCTCGGTCGTTAGCGTTTTGGGAGCATAGAAGAATTGAAGAACGGGTGAACTCGTACTACCAATCCACCCTTTGGCGAGTGTTTTCCAAAATTACGATTCGCCAGTTCTGCACCATGTCTATTTTCCCGTCACAAATCATCAGTGCAGTTCCATGATGGAGTGAACACCAAAGCAGCGATACACATTCCTTGCGCAGCCCCGCCAACATGTTTCATCTTTTTCCTTGCCTGTTCTTCTTTACATGCACAAATAGTTTTTCCTTGAGGCGGAGGTGACAGTAGCTGGCACCAGGGGGGCCACCGCTTTAAGGCTGCGTTCATTACTTGCGTCAGCGTGTAGGGTCAGCCGCGGTGCCATCGCGTTATGTGAAACACGTAGGGGAGCTGTCCTTTTTCGGTGAAGAATGGGTGTATTTGGTCGTTGCTGAAGGGGGGGGGGTCGTATGGTGGCTTTTGAGACGGAATTGGCCGCGCGCGGGAAAAATTTTTTCCGCCGGTTGGTTTTTCTGTTTTTTTGCACTATAGTCCCCTCCGGCCGCGCGGGGCTCGGACAGCAACAAATTTTTCGGAGATCCAGGCAGGCGATTCAGGAGGCCATGCAACGAAGGAAGACTCTTTCCCAGGGGGGGGAAAATCTGTTCCAGAGAACGCCAGATAGCGGCGAGGCGAGAGTCTCGGGCGAAAAGAGTATACAGAAACTGTCCCTGCTTCTACAAATGAGCTAGATACAACCCAGACAGCGCTCCGCAGCAACGCCGCCTGCGGAAAAATTTTTGGTGGTTGGAAGAAAAGATGGGAACTGTGGAGAAACGGACTTGCGCCCTAGTAGAGGCGCAGAGCCACTCCGTTCGTCTGGAGGAGAAGAAGGGGAGGGTACGGATAAAAGGCGGGCAGATAAGGTGACAGTCGGATCCTCGCAAGAATGCATGGGTGGGGTCCACCGCTGACTTGAGGGAAGACAACGGTAGGACAAAGGGGCCAATCTCTTTTCATGTTTCACGGCGCGAGGCGTACCGAACGTGGAACCCACGAGCTCCCTAGGGCTCTCTGTCCAGAGATACTTCGTAAGATCTTGCTGAACAGATAGCAAAACGAGAAGGAAGTAAGGGGCGAGGTTAACAAAGGCAACCCAGGCAAGTTGCCCTAAGGGCATTCAGCATGGTTATCCGTTTCCTCGCAATAATCGGCAAGACAATAGACGATAACGCCTTACTTAAAAGCTCCGTACGCTGGCGTACGCTGCTGCAAAGTATGAACACAGCCTTACCACCCGCGTGGTCTGGAGTCAGATCTCGGATCAGCTCTCGCCCATGCCAAATAAACCTTCCACACTTCAGGAACGGTGAACTGGTACCAGATTTGCCTGGGAGGATAAGAACACTGTCTTGTACATCGGTTGGCCCCCGCAACTCATTTTTTCAATAAGCCACTGCGATTCTGAATGAAAATAGAATGTGTGCCGCATTCCAAAAGAATTAATCAGAGGACTTCATCTTTTTACTTTATAAGTCCCAGTGAATTATTGCCATACCCTTGAATATGCAACATATGCGTAACGTTCATTGATCTCGGAACGACATTACAACACGTTCACCCATGGCGACCAGTTTCCTTTCGGTGTTTTCGCCGCTCTAGCTTTTCTTAAACAATGTGTTGCCTACTCATTGACAATCTCATCCATTTTACATGATCATTTTATGTTTCCAACTTAACTTTTTACTTTTTCACTTGTAAATGATTTGATTCTGCTGGGACGACGCAAGTTTCTGTTCTTTGGTTTCAGAATCCTTTACCACCGGCCTATCGCGGAATCGAAAATTTGGGCAGTGTAGGTGCAAGAATGAGTCGTAATCAGATAATAACGGATGAAGCAGGGCCATCGACGTCGAATTCACGGAAAGTCCGAGATATTACTCACACAGTGGGTTTTTCTTACTCTTCCTTCTCCTTTACTCTCATTTACTTGAAAAAATCCTATGGAATTTCTCATTGTTCACCTTTTCTGCCAGTAAAGTTGCTACGTAGGACTACTCAATGAGACCTGTTTCTTTTTCAGCCAGATCGTCACTTTTGGGTCGTAGGTCATAATTCAGAACTTGTTCTCATAATCTCCGAACGCGAGTCGTGCAGTCTTGTTCGCTACAGATGACGGGGAGGAGGTTTGATGCAGCGCCACCCTATTCTTTACCAATTGTTGGAGGGGCAAACAGCAACAGTCGGTGGAAATTGAAATAGCACCGCGCCAGACCGAGCTTCACACGCCGCACCATTCGTAGTGGATGAGATTGTGGCGTTTTCGACGGAACGTCAAGATGCGCAGCGGAACATCACAATGACGTAAATAAACCTGCTCAGTCCTTTACCTCGATGATTTAGCTATTTGTCCGGAATGTTAGGGAATCAGGCGTTTAGTGGTTTAAAGATTGACTCACAAATCTTGAGCCACGTTTAGACGTCCGAGGATGACGACCCAATACTCTTGATCTTCCATTAGAGTTATAGTTACCATTCCTTTTTATAAAAGAGAAAACTCTGTGGTCAACAACAATTCCCAAGTCTTATGAAAAAGGAAATTGGAAATCGATCAGGATTTCAGCAAAATTACTGTTTCCAGCAAAATCATCCCA